CATACTTGGGGTACATGGCCAACACCACTTCCTTGGCTGCTTCATCAAAGATCTTCAGCATTTCTGCTGGGGCCTCCGGTAGAAAGTAGGCAAGGACATGTTCCTGGGCAGCCAGATCCTCATAGTTCACCACTAGACTCTCTCTGTTCTCTTAAGAAATAGAAAGGGAGCATTTCATTTTCAACCTGCTCACTTCTCAAGCAGCCTGTAAAAGATATCCAGGATACACAAGCCTGTTCCCTGCAAGCTGCAGCTTGTAGGTGTCTGCACCTCTCCTGAGAAATGTGGAGGCCACCAATTTGAAAATGGCTGTTAAAGTCTATTGAAGTTATTTTTCTAACAACTTTTTTCATCAGTACTCATTCTGATTATTTCTCTCCAGTTCTGTAGGTATTTCTCAGGCTCAGTGTTCCTGAGACTTGAAAGCCTCAGCCCAACAAACAACTCTCACACAGACTCCAGGAAACAGAAGTTAATAGCAGAGTTAATAGCCAGCACTGAATGGCTGGCAAAAATATTCTGCCTCTGCTGTTCCTGAGGAGGAGGAAGACAAATGCCTTTATTTTGTAACTGTGTAACACTAACCATGATCCAGTGCTCAATCTTCTGACTCAGCATAAGTAAGAAATATGAACAACTGCAGTTACAAAAGTTGTTCCTAAATGTGACAATTCCAGCTTTTAAAAATTTTCACTGATAGTTTCTGTCAATGATTGCTTCTGTCAGTGAGTAGTCAGAACACAGTGCTGCAACACAGACATGATCTTCAAAGTCACAGGGTCTATTTGTGGCCTCTCACTGGACAACCCAGTTTTCAGTGTGAGAAAGTAACTGTCACAGACAGCAAGTAATTGTTGTCTCTTTCAGATCACAAGCATGCAGCCCACTGTCTGCTGCTAGTTTTTGCCAGTATTTCTAGGATATGAATATTAATGAGTAGCAGACACGAGGGGCCTTCTAATTAGTCAGACAGAATCAAAGAAGGCAGTCATGATGTTTCCATTGTTCATTTATCTCTGCTAGCATCAGTTTCTTGAAGTGCTGACTTGGTGTCTGGGACAAACAGGATAGGCAGAAAAAAATTCACCTGTGGGCTGAATCACAGTAAAGTACCACAGTCCACATAAAGAGGGTCATCACCAGCTGTACCTTTGCACATGTCGCTGATCCTCTCCTTGAAGACGTTGTGCCCATGGTCATCCACATGGGTCTTCAAGAAGTTCTTGAAGCGGTGGTAGATCTCAAGCCGGGGAGCTGCCATGGAAACCCACTCCCTCACTGAATGCCCTTTCATGTCTTCCAGATTCTCAATGCTCTCAATCATGTCTTCATCTTCCTCCTCTATGCCATCAGCAGCCCGTTCTGCCAGTCGCCTCTTCCGCGAAGGACGGTCTTCATCTTCATCGTCACTGTCTATGGGTTGGAAAGACAAATTGGTCAGAGTTGAGTTTCCCATTCCCTCTCCTTGGAATGGTCATGGGTGAACTGCAACAGGATGAGGAAGCAAAGAGGCTGCAATTACAAACCAAAAACCATCCCAGGCCCAGCCAACAACAGGCACCTGTTCAGCTCCAGCCTAATTTCTGCACCTTCCAAGGTAACTGAAGTCTTTAAAGGGAAAGATTTGTATTCAACAGCACTCAAACATGTCCATTAACATACCAAGGAAGCAAGTGCAAACATATTTCGAAGTGCATGAAAGGCCCACCCAGCCCACAGAAGCCTCTATCATCTCCACCTACCATAGAGCAGCCCCCTCCTCATGCGGCCCATGCCCTGCTCCAGCTCACGGTCCCGCTGCCTCATCACTCTCTCTGCAGCTTCCCGCTGGCTGGCAGTCAGCTCCTCCACATCTTCGTCATCCAAGGCCAGGCCCTCTGCCTCATAGACATCCAGCTCTGGAATGGGCCGGTAGTCCCTAGAGCACACACACAGCATTGAAACAAATTCCAGAAGGCATTTATCCAGCTTCCCCTTGGCTATCAGTGAGTCAGGACAGATGATCTACATGAGATGGAGCCCACTGGACAGGAAGGAGCAAGGGGAGATGCCCTGCAGTATGAAAGGCTCCAGCACCAGGATTACACAAATGCCAGCACTCAAGTCTCTAGCTAGTTAGCAGGTCTGGCTGAGTAACAAAGCATTAACGTTTATGACTGCAAGAGCAAGGAGCTGGGTTAGATGTGCATCCCACACCTCAAGATCCAAGTTCATCCTCCCTAGATCACAACAGCACTTTGCTCCTGGTTTGCAATGTGTTCTGTGCTTCCAGAACTTTACACCATCATGCCCTGACGCTTCTTTCTTTTCCGTCCAGCAGCTCTTCAGACCCTTCATTCGGCTACTAGCACCCACTGCTGGTCCACACTGAGAATCCCAATAACAAAACCCCATCCACAGACGCAACTCCCCAGATGCTAGCTCTCAACGGCCTCCTTACCTCTCCATCCCCTCTCCGATGAGTTCTTCTCCTTCTTCCTCCTCTTCGGGGAGCCCCTCGGTGCCCAGGAGCCCTTCGGATTCATCCTCGAAGGGGGGCAGGTCCCGGCCGGGGCTGGACGTGAAGGCATCACCGCGGCGGGAGCTGCGCACGGGGCTGGTGACCGCCGCCTGCGACTCGGAGGAGTCCTGCAAGGAGGGGAGAGCGGGTGAGGGCGGCGGGGGCGCGGGGCTGCCTCCCCCCCGCCACCGGGCCAAGGGAGCTCGGTGCTTCCGGAGGGCCGAAGGGGAATGCTGCTCAGCGACGAGTCCTGCTTCTCGAAAGGCGAAAAATTAAAATCATGAATGTTCCCTACAAACTGCAACGAAAAGACCTGAGAAGCCGGTCCTCTGAGCCCGGAGCAAAAGAGAAGGTCTCTGATCCGCCCCAATGCTCTCTTCGCCGATACAGGCCACCGGGAGACTTCTCAAGACAACCGGCGACCCCCGCACCCCCCGGAAAAAAAAAACAAAAAAAAAACAAAAAACCAACAAACAAGATGCCTCCCAGGACAGGGAGGAATCGAGGTTTGCGTTCCGAGCCCGCCCGCCCTTTCTCCCCAAGCCCCGTTCCGGCCGCTCACCGCCATCGCTGCTTCCTACCCCGCCGGATTCCGCGCGAAAATGCACCACGTGGCCGGCAAAAGCGCGCGAAGCCTCATGAATAATGAATATATCTGCCGCGAGCCCCGCCCCACCTCCTGAATATGCATGACCAAATTTCCTCCCGCTCGAGCAAAACCGGAGGCAGCGCGGCGAGATCGGGCGAGAGCGGCCTGAGCTGAGTGCTCAGCTTCTCGTAGAGCTGCGTTGGGCAGCTAAACCTATCAGTAAATTGAGGCAGCTGTCATGCAAGGACAGGGTTTCTTCTGCTAGGCCCATTGACATGAAGGGTGTGGGTCGGGACCCACAGAGGCTCAGCTGATCCTTCAAAACTACTACAAAGAGCGCAACGACACCGTTTAATAGATCAAATTTTCCACTTCAAAACACTGTTTTTTAATGTAGTTGCAACAATTAGCTGAGCGTTTTCATCAGCAGTGGTCGACAGCCTGCATGCCACAGTCGTAAAATCCTGCAGCAGCAGGAGTAGCCCACTGTCACTGTGCTCACTGTTGGCAGAAAGGTGCAACCTCTACTGCCATCCCACCAACATCCCCCTCTGATGCCGTGGGCCTGTATCATCGTACAGAAGGAAGCACCTTTGGAGCAGCCTTTGTAACACTGGGCACAGAAGTATGTATCTATTTCAGTCACTGTGGCAACTACTGAAAGGTGCACTATGCATACATCTTTCAATATCACGTATTGCTACAAACCTGTGACCAGAAAAGCAGCACAGACACCATGAATAACTAGATGTACTGGGTGATGCATTCACCTTCTCTTCCCGCAGGGCAGCCCGGCCCCAGGTGTGCACTCATTGCCCACCAACAAACCAAGATTGCTGTGATGTTAGCCATACCTGGGCTGAACCCAGAGCAAGGGGCGCAGGGGTAACTTCTGCTACAGCAAAGAAGTGCGCTTTGACACACTGGCTAAACTCAGGTTTCTCAACAGCCAAAAACATGTGGCCTTACTTTCTGTTTGGATAAAGGCAGCTGAGAAGAGGATGGGAAACCAGGTGTTTACCTGGGATTTCTTGTATATCCTTCAGCATCCGATACCTTGAGTTGCAAGAGACTTACTGAACAAATTTAATGCGCAAATAAATGCTAAAAAAAATAAAATCGTAGACCCCTATGAAGTACTGTCTGCTGTAAATCCACTGGGACAGGCTACTGAAATCCCAGAATGATCCGAAGCAGCTGAAACGGTATGGGATATCCCTAAAGCCAGAAGCTAAGCCCGCAAGACAAAACCTCCTAAAAATGGAAGGTAGGAGAGGAACTCAGCCTCTGATTGGAAAGTTGTGACTCACAGACTATTATGAGAATACTGTTCACAGTGCAGTAATGGGACCGGCTGCCATGAGCCGCTGCAGAATCCCCTGAGCACCCCGGTGCTCTCGGTGTGGTGTAGCTGTGGGTGCAGCTCTCAGCACTTGGTGTTGGTGCCTGTCTGCTCCCACGGCGTGTTTGGGGCTGGCTTGGAGAATCTGGGGCCTGGCGCTGCAACGGAGAGCAGCTTTGTGTCCGGGCCCGCTGTCCCTGTCTGCACCGGCAGTTGTAGCCAAATTCTGGGAGTGCCTCGAGGACTCTGATGTCCTGCAGCTGGCAGAGCGTAGGGAGCTGCTCTCAGCGATCGGGGCAGAATTACGGCAGCTCCCACGGCGCCCTCGGGGCTGATTGCAGGTATTCTCATCCCGGTGTAAATGCAGGCGCACTCTCCTCCGGTCCGTCCTGCGCTGGCTGGACCGGACACTGCTCCCAGGCACACGGGAACACTCAGCTGATCCTGGTGGTGCCTGGCTGGTGGTTCTGGAGCCTCGGGATGGCCCCAGTTCCTGCCGCGTGGTGGTGCTGAGGCCAGCGCTGTCCAAATTTGTGTTGGAGGCTGTAAGGGGAGGCAGGATGGTGAGCGAGGTTGATCTATACCACTGGGGTAGGCACCTATCCCTCCTGGGCCAGAGGGACTTTTGCCTCTTACCGGTGCCCTCTCCAGCACAGGTGTTGCAATCCCACCTGGTTGTCCTGTGACTCAGGTAGAAACAGCGCCGATGAGTCCCTTGTGCAGCACAGGAGTTGCAGAGGAGCAGCTCCCAGGGCCTGGGGAAACCAACGGGTTGTGGCCATGAGGACAAAGTGATCTGAGCCAGGGAGGGCCTAGCACAGCTCTGGTGCTCAGTCCATGCTCCCCCAGCCTGTGGTGATCCCAGGCTGGGATCCCACGCAGAGCCCCAGAAGGCTGCTGAGGTAACTCACCCTTCTCTCTCTGCCCAATCCCTGCCGTGTGGACTAAGGCAGTCTCTGGCATCGCAGTGCTGGTGCCTAACTCTCAGGGATGCGTAGGCATCGTTGTCCTCCCATGTTGGTCTTCTGCCAGGGAAGAGAGGGAACGTGATGATCACTCACTGCCTCGGGACTAAAACCGATCCATGGCATCCCCCCCACCCCACTCTATGCCCAGTTCCAGCTTCCCAATGATGCTGAGACCCATGTTAATGGCTGTGCAGGGCCAGGCCTGCCAGTGCAGTCCCTTGCCAAGGACAGCTCTTGTGCCCTCACATCTCAAGAGCTGGCTGAAAGACACCAACCTGAATGGGATTCGGATCCCCGCAGTGAGCATGTCTGTTGTAAAACAGCCCCTGTCTCTGCAGAGGGGTCACTGGAAGCAGTAAATCCCTGCGCACAGGGCCTGTTTCTGCAGCAGAAACACAAGCAACGTGCGTGTGAGCCAGGCCTGGTGCTGCTGAGCGCTGACCATTCCCACGGGGCAAGGGGAGTGCTCCTACCTGGACGCACGCGCGGTGGAACCAGGCGTGTTGGCAAGATGGGCACACCATGGTGCTGTATGATCTGCTGTCACCTACGGGGTCCATGCAGATGATGCAGGTCGTACCCTGCTCCGGGACTGCCTTCACTGCCTGCTGTGGGTGGTGCTCCCAACAGAAGGACCTGGGGGGAAGATGGGAGGGATGGGCAAGGTGAGAAGTGCTGAGAGGAGGGCAGAGGAACGGGAATGAGCCCCAGGCCTTGACTGTGGCGGTGTGAGGCTGCTGGGAGGTGTCACAAGGCATTCCTCGCTTCTTTGGCTGGTGCTGACAGGAGTGGTTAGAGGCTCACAGGCAATGCCTGGCAGCCCTTACCTGAAGTCTCCAAAGTACCGGGTGATGCATTCACCCTCTGAGGCACAGGGAAGATGGAAGCTGCGGTCACAGCCCGGCTCCACACAGGTGATGAAGGCCCCCCTCTTGCCACATACGCAGCAGAGCTGGAAAGAGCAGAGCAGCCCCCATCAGCAGCAGGCGCGGGGCCCACACAGCGGGCCCCCCACCTCTGGGGAGGGCACAAGATGCGGGCAGGGCTGGGTGGCACTCTGCAGAGCTGCCCGGTGAACAGGGCTCATCTGCAAGAGCAGGAATTTCTCCTGGAGCTGGTTGGAAAGGCTGGGATTGCTTTCTTTTGACCAGGCTAAGCAAGCCATGCCTGTCCTGGCACCAAGCTCCCTGCTCTGGTCCAGTGCTCACCTTCTGCTCTGCCCGCCTCACTGTGTGTATCAGGTCTTCTAAGTAAAAGCTTGCACTGTTGTTATCTGCTCCTGGTTGACAAAGACCACTGGCAGCTTTCTGTACAAGAGGAAAGAGCGTGATCTTGTTAGGGCAGAAAGGAGGGAATCACTGGTTGGAGGAAGGTGTCAGGAGCCACATGGGAACTCACCACACAGTACAAATGGAAATAGAATCCACTGTGCTCTTCTTTCTGCCCAAGGATGCTGGAGTCATCATCCACACGGCCACACAGCACGCACGCTGGAGAGAGGAAGAGCAGTGAGCGCCTTGAGGGGCCGAGTGCCCCTGGGGGCTATGCTAGGGACTGCTCTGTGCCAGCTGTGCCCGCTGAGAGGCAGGGCTGGAGGCCGTGGAGGGGAAGGGGCACTGCAGGCCCAGCTGTGCCAGCAGGCAGCCACAGACCGTGCCACCCTCCATGATGCCATCACACCTCACAGGGGCTGAGGGCACCCAAGCAGGAGGGCGGTGGCTCCTGCTGCCAGCGCAGAGTGAGGGGCCCGGCGCTGGATGCAGCCCCGCTGGAAACCGGCGTCTTGGTGCTGCTGAAGGTACCGGGTGACACATCCACCCTCCTGGCCCCACCTGAACACTACCATTGCTCCTGCTGCTCCATCCCAGTCAAGCGTTTACATGTTTCCACGATGTTCTCAAGGCTTTACTTTTTGGTTGTTTGCTGCTGATTTCCTCTCGTTGCAATAAATGACTCGATTCACAGAATCACAGAATCTATGGTTGCCAAAGACCTCTAAGATCACCAAGTCCCACCGCCCACGGCCCTCAGTGCCCCATCCCCACGGTTCAGGAACACCTCCACAGACGCTGACTCCCCAGCTCCCGGGCAGCTGTGCCAGTGCCCGACCGCTCTTTCAGCAAAGATGTTCTTCCTAACATCCAACGGGGACCTCCCCTGGCTCAACTTGAGGCCGTTTCCTCTCGTCCCATCGCTGTTATCTGGGAGAAGAGGCTGGCCCCCACCTCACTACAGCCTCCATTCAGAGAGTTATATGCAGTGGTGAGGCGTCCCCTGGGCCTCCTCCACACTCAACAATCCCAGTTCACTCTGCCGCTCCTCATGGGACTTCTGTTCCAGACCTTTTCCTGCCCCATTGCCCTTCCATGGGCACACTGCATGGCCTCCGTGTCTTTCTTGTAGCGAGGGGCCTGGAACAGTGTACAGCACTTGAGGTGAGGCCTTACCAGTGCCGTCTGCAGGGGCACGATCACCTCCCTGCTCCTGCTGGCTGCACCGTTTCCGCTACAAACCGGGACGCCCTTGGCTTTAGAATCATAGAAACATAAAATCATAGAATCACAAGGTTGGAAACGACCTACAAGATCGTCTAGTCTTGCTATTTCTCTAAATGATTGGACCAAGAAACATAGTGTGGATGTTCCATTTACAAGCATTCTGTCCAGTAGGCCGATAAGCTGAAAATTTTAGATTTTTAGAGAGACGGGTGTCATATATGAATGGAATTTGGTGACAGGAGAGCGTAATATTATCTTAGAAACCTGCAGTCAGGTGAGGCTTCGGTGCCAAAAGATAACAGTGCAGCAGGTATAGCGCCAAGTGACAGCTCTCCCTCAGGGTTCTGCCAAGGCTGTTAAGTATCACCCTTTGTCTTACTTCCACCTGTGATACAGCAGGGACCCACCAAGCGAGCCCTGCCACCTTCATCCACAGGGCTAGACGGATGGCACAGAGCATTCTTCTGTTTGAGAGACAGCTTTTACATCTGCTGGGCTACTCCCTCAGAGAAGTCAGGTGAAATGAACAGGTGAATTAGGAAGCAAAACCTTTCCACCAGACACAGCCATGTGGGAGGTGAAAGTTAAAGCCTAGGGGTAGAGGCTAGAAGACATATCTCCCATTCTTGGAGATATTTTAGCCAGAACAGTCAGCTTCTTCTTGAGCAGAGGTGCCCCTGCTGTAACTCAGACACGTTGTACCCACCGACTCTCAGAGCACAGACCTGCAAGCAGCCAGCACTACAAGTTCACAACGCGTCATTAACCCGAGCAACGACGAACGAGAAGGGACGCGCCGGCTTCTCCAGGCATCGTTCTAACATCGCGGTACAAACACAAAGCCTCAGCTCCATCAGAGCAGCCGGCAGCCCCACGCCCCACACAGCTCTGCCCCTCATCGCACGGAGCGCCGGTCCGCGCCGCGAGCCCTTAAATGGCGGCCGCCCGCCGAGCCCCGCCTCCCGCCGCTTCCCATAGGCCGGCGCCTCGATTTCTTTCCGCCTCTCCAGCAGCCGGGGTTGGGCTGTTTCGGGGCTCCCCTTTGAGCGGCTCCGCTGGGCTCAGGCGGAAAGGCTGTGCTTCACTGCTCCTGCCTTACGCGGCCGTCTGCCCGCCCTGCTGCGCGGCGCTCCCCGGCCGAGCGGAGCGGTGGTGCCGGGCCTGGCATGGCGGGTTTGGGCCCCTGCGACTGAGCGCCGCCTGCGGAAGGCCGGGCCGGGCGGGCTGCGTCCTGCGGCGGGTAGGAGCGGGTCGGGCGGCGGTGGGGGGCTGTGGGGGCACGGCCCGGGCCTGGCTGCGGTTCTCTGAGGCGGTGCGGGGCTCGGGGGCCCGGCGCGGGGGTTTAGGCTCCGTCTTCCTTTAGGCTCCGTCTTCCTTTTCCTGGCCGCCTCCCCGCTGTCCCGGCCGGGCTCGGGCCTCGGCGCCGCGCTGTGCTCGCGGCCTGTGCCCGCGGCTGCGTCGCTCTGGGCGCTCTGTCAGCTGCCCTTACAGCGGGTGGACTTTCTTGTTCGTGTGAAGCGTCCCCGTGCTGCTCCTTTCCTTCTTCTGCCTGGAAGAAGAGCAGGAAACTAGCATATCGTGTTCCCAGGCTTGCTCCCGAGCTTGGCGTTCTGTCCTGTTTGGGTTACCGGTGCTCTTTTAGTGCTGTAGTTCTTCTCTTGTAGAGTTTTGTCCTGAAGCAGAAGCGATAATGAAAGTTGGAGAGAAGGGAGTTGAGCCCTGTCAGGACAGACGTGCCACCTGTTTGTTTGAGACTGCAATGTGAATGGCGATGGCTTTGATCCTGGGGGAGATCTGAACAACTGTTTTTAAAAGGGAGTGAAGAAAAAAGGTTTCCCCTTCTCCTTTAAGGCTATGTAACCTATTGGAGTAATGCTTTCATTTAAGCAGGAATCTGCTAAGTGCAGCGCTCTGTCACTCACATCCGGAATTGTAGGGAGTGATACCAGCCCTGATGTGGTCTGTGCTTTCCAATGCTGTTTTCAGGAAGAAGGAGAGCAGTCGGTTTTATTAAACCTGGAACTCTGGTAGGTGTGTGACCACCGCCATGAGGTTGAGTTTTGAGACTGCAGATAACTGCTGGTAACCTGAGCCTCAGCGTTCACTGGTTACGCTATGAGTCCTGAACCAAAAAGCAGAATCCCCTTGGTAAGAGGCAGCTGCCTGCCCAGGAGGTGCAGCTGAGCCCCCTCCAGCACTGTGTCTCAGTGCCTGGACTGAGAAACACTGCTCAGCCACATCAGGCTCACTTCAGCTGTAACATAGCAAACTCTTTTTTTCCTTTTATTTTCTAGTGTATGGCAGTTCAGGCTGTCTGTCAGAAGGAAGGCTGGGGCTGGGGTGTGGGGTGCTGATGTGTGGCTGTGGGGTGGCTTCAGCTCCTCTGTGTGGGTTGAGCTGGCAGCTGTGGGCAGGGTGTGGTGAGTGATCCCTGGGCTATGCTCAGCTGACCGGGTTAGTTCGGATGAGCTGGGGCACGGGTTGGAAAGTGCAGCAGGGAGCAGTGGTGCTGGGTGTGATGAATCCAAACTGTTTCCCTGGCATCAGTTTCCCATGCATTTGCTGTGGGTTTGTTGCTGGTGGCCTCAACCAGAACAGGGCAGTTCTCAACATCTTCTCTGTAGCCTTTGGCTATGATAAAAGCACAAAGTGTGCTGTCAGACTGATGGCTCTGGCTGCCCTTTGATAGCATGTTGGGTATTTTGCTGCTCTGCCTTTGTAGGGTACTAACACCAGGCCATAGTGAGCAGCCTGGCATGGAGGTAATCTCAATTCTGCTTTGCCCTTTGAAACCTTGTGACTGGGGCTGACTGTTGCATGTGGCCAACTCCTCTCCTTATCAGCAGCTCACTGCTGTTGTGTGATAGTGATGGATTCTAGGGAAAAAAGTTGGAGTCTCCTTGTTCTTTTTCTGAGAACATGTTTGTTTTTCCATGTAGGTCTGCAGCTTTATAATCAAACCCTTTTCACTTGGATTTCCCAGGTCAAATTCTTTGTCCCAGAAGCAGTTAGAGGTGTGATATTCACAGCTGATGTAATTCTCCCCATGCTCTGTGAGTTTTTTTCTATCCTTTCCCAGCATTTTTAAATTTCAGAAGAAATAAAAAATTCTTCTGCATTGGTAAATATGAATGTATTTGTCTTTGCTGCTACTGAGATGCAGAGGTCAGTGAAAGTGTTTCAGAAGAGAAGAATGAAGCAAAGTTATTTACAGGAAATCCTCAATGGTGTCAAAGCATTGAGTTACTGGAAGGAAGAGAAGACACTTCTGGGGAGTTCTGCAGTGTGGAGGTGGTTTGCTGGAACCCCCACTAGAACTGAGATTATTTGGCACAGATATTGCCATCTCAGCACAAAGTTGATCTTTCCAGGTCTGTGTGTTTATTTAATGACGTCTCTTGTGCAGCACAGCATATGGCAATTGCACAAGAGAATCTCATCCCAGTGAGTATCTGTCAACGTGGGTGAATCAAATGGAGGGTTTGTTAGCTGGGAGAGGCATGGGTACCCCCTGTCTTCAGGACACTTAAGACAAATCTCAGCCTCTGAAGAAAACTCTGTGCCCTGGAGACCTGGGCAGTTTGTAGGGAAAGTGCTACTGAGCTCTGAAAGCTCCAGAGGTGGCACAGGGCTGTGCTGCTTGTTCTTTCTGACCTGAGTCATCCCATACCTACCAGGGAGATGACTTGCTGACTCCTGGCATTGAGGCTGTTAGTTTTGCTATGCCAGCCAGGGTTAAATTCAGACAGGGGGGAGATGTTTTCTTTGAAGATGAATCCTGGATAGAGGGCAGTGCACAGTGCTGTCTCTGGCTATGTGCATTTTTGGGATGGCAGTTGGTAGAGATGTTTCAATCTGTCATCTGCAGCCACGTCCTTGGAAGGTGCAGGGGGATGTGATGAGACCTTTCCTTCAGCACATTGTTGGTCAAGCTTATTTAGTGGTGAGAGTTCCTACTTTAGGGTAAGAAGGGGGAGGATCTGCACAAGGTGACACACTGAATAAGGAGTAAGTTTACTAGTCAAACTCTAATTCTGCTCTACAGCCAGCATTCATCCAAGCTTCTAAGGTGACCATGGAATCAACAGGGAAACTGCAGCTGTTACTTTTACTGCTACAACATTTACAAAGCCACTGGACACGAAGCATGTGGAGTTTAATGGAGAACAGAGTTTCTCTTCATCTTCTGTAAGGATAGCTAATAATACAGCAGTGTAGGGCCTGGGGGTGGGCAGATGGCAGAAAAGATAATAATGTTCTCTCAGGGCAGGCAATTTAGAAACAACACCTCATCAGGAGAATGGGAAGCTCTCTCTTGTCCTTTTTCCAGGTGCCTGGAGAGGGCTAAGACAGGGCAGGCAAACAAGCTAAGCACCACAATTCATTTTAAGTTCAGAGCTCTTTGGTGCCCAAGAGTTCAACCTGAAGAAAAACACATCAGGTAGGGACAGCTTCTGGGTCTGGGTTTGTGAACTCCCAGTGTGCATCCAAGTGCTAGTCAGTATCTGAGAAGTGCAATGTGACCTGGATAGAGGGGTGTGAAGAAGATGGAGAACATTATGCTAGTAGGGTTATAGGAAGATGCCAACTTTATACATCTTTACTTTCTGCTTAAAATCAGAATAGTTCTGGGATCTTGCAGAGAGAAAAATGCTGATTTTTTTTTTTGGCCTTTTTTGATATTGATTTCTGAATATAGTACATACAGTCCCTACAGGTAAAAGTATGCGGGGCTCTGACTGTAGGATTGGTAGCAGCAATGGGTTTTAGTTACGAGCCTTCACTTTACTTTTGTAGAAATTAATTTGTTGACTTCTTGGGCTTGGGATGTAGAATAATTGATGCTCTGATGCAGCAGGGTTTTTATCTGTCTGGTGACGCCATGTATTGCTGCTGAGTTTTGATTTATTCTATCAGTCTGCCAAGGCTCAAGTAATCACTGATTTGAAGGTGCATTTTACTCTGATACAAGATGCTGATTTTGTACTGTCTACCCTAGTGGCTGTGTGCAGAGTGAAGGCAGGTGCTATTCTGTTGTGTAATGCAGTCTTTCTGATTATAATAATTTGCTGTAACAAGCAGGAAGCAGTTGTGTGGGGGCCTAATGGAAGGGATATGCTTTTTTAGCTCTGACTCACAACTGATTTAATGTTCTCTTTTCTCTGCTGCTGTTGTCCTGTGCCACGTTTGACCTGAACTAGCAAGGAGGCAGGATATTCCAGTCCATGATGTCCATGATGAGATTCTCCTTGTCTGACAACATCACACGCTCTACTGCCCTGGTGACAGCACTGGATAATGTGACAACTTTGCCTTCAACGACAGCGCAGGCAATCAATGGCACGAACGTCACGGTGCCACATAAGTGCCTGCTGTTGCTCTATGAGGACATTGGGAAGTCCAGGTGAGAAAGACAAAATGGGATCACAGCCTGACTCTGGGATCCTTGCTTTCTCGGCATTTGGGTGAGCAGGGGCTGGGCTGGTACCTGGCCTTCTAGATGCTGCAGAACAGGATGAAACTTTTTTATTTACTTTTTGCAGAGTCCGCTACTGGGATCTTTTGCTCCTGGTTCCCAATGTGCTTTTCTTTATGTTTCTTCTCTGGAAGCTGCCCTCTGCCAGGGCCAAAATCCGGGTCACTTCCAGCCCAATCTTCACTACATTCTACATACTAGTGAGTACTGCTGTGTGCTTTTGAACTGATTGATGGAGTGTTTTTTATTACCACTCTTGAAAAGTATAACTGAACAAGTGGAGAGAGAGAGAGAGCTTAGACCAGGTCTAAGATTTGAAGGTGTACTACCAGGAATAGACTTTTTGCTGCCTGAACTCTACTTTTCAGCTTCTGGTAATGTCCATATCTAGATATAGTGGATTTTTTTCTATGGTGATTTTTTTTTTTTTTCCCTGCACACTTTCTTCTGTTTGTTGTTGTCTTGGAATCCAGCATCTTGTATTTTCCTTGTTTCTTGCATTAAGTTATGTGACACAAAACCATTATCTCACTGAGTTAATGTATGTGAAGAATAATGAAGAGCTCCGTACACAACTGCTACAAAATTAAAAAATACTACTAGCAGTTTCCTGTCTGAATTTACGTCGTCTGTCACATTTCCAGTTATACAGGGAAGGTCAATAAAAAGCTCATTCTAAAGTCTTAGAGAAACAAAACTCTTCAGAAACCACGGGGAAGAAAAAGTGAGCTGACTGCTGTTGGCTCTTTCAAAACAGTGTGAGAAGTAGAAAGTGATGAAACAGTCTTAGAGAAAAGTGCTTTTCAGTCAGTTTGATCTTCTGGATTATGTTTTCTGGAAATGAGGGTAAGTATGTTCAGTGAGGATTTCCTCTCAGGCAGTTGTTTGTCACATTCTGAAGGAATGCTTTCTTGTGGAGTCAGTGATTAAAGCTAAGCTGATAGCTTTGTAAGATTTTCTCCCTGTTTAGAGGAAAACACCCTTTTTGCTTCCTGAGTTGTTGCTGCTCCAGAACCCCCTTCTGTAGGACCCTTCTTTCTCATCAGTGTTTTGTCCAAGTTTTCCACCCAAGAAGGGAATGTCACATTGTTATTCTTTGAGTTGTTTGCATCTTCTTTTTCTCTAAGGAGGAAGCATTCTGCTGTAGATGGCTTATTGGTTGATTTCATCCATCTTGAAATCAGATTGTACTTTTCATTCTGTGTTAGATATGACTGTTTCATACCTTCATCATTAGTATATCTAAGCCTGTAGCTTGGAGAATTGTGTCTGGAAAAATCTGTTTTCTCAGAGAGTAGGTCTGCCCAGCACAGGGTGGATGTGTCCAACTGAGCTCTTGATTGCATAGTGTGGCTGTGGCAGCACAGCGACTGGTGGATTAGCCTTGCTGAGCTCTGTGGTGTCAGACTTAAATGGTATGAGGTGGTATCTTAATACTGCACTGTGCAGGAGGCTAAGATGCTTTAAAGCTGTTATCTGTATTGCCTTATCTTTTGCATTCCTGAGCATTGCCATTGTGGAGTGGGGAAAAAAAACAACTGTGTGGATTTCAGCTTTATCACAGATCTGAAATGTGGTACTTGGTATAAAGTGGCTTCTGTTATCTGATGGCATTGGGTTATTCAGTCATACCAAGCACTTGATTTTCTAATTTGGAGAGATGTATTTTTCATCTGATTGCCCCCAGTGAACTGAAAGGTGGGGAGAATGACTGTAAGAGCATCATTGTAAGGGAGTGTTCAATCTGATAGCTGAAGAAATGTGCACCTTCATAAACTCTAAGCCAGTATTTCTGTACCTGACAAGCCTTTGGGAAATTAACTCAAGTATGTTATTTAAAGTCCTCAGTGCACATTATCAGGCTTCAAAGCTGGCCTGGAAATAGAATTCCAAAAAGGTATCTGATCACTGCTGCATATGTGCCTTTTGACTTGAGCTATTTTTGCTACTTTTTTCTTGTAGGTGTTTGTGGTGGCTTTAGTTGGTATTGCCCGTGCTGTTGTCTCCATGACTGTGAGTGCCTCTGATGCTGCCACAGTTGCTGATAAGGTAGGTACAGTGCTTGTTCTGGAGGCTCTGCTTTGTGTAGTTCTGGCCACAGTGTTTTGCTACTGCCTCCCATTTACTTGCTTGCAAGAAGAATGTGTTCTTATTTGCAGTGCTCATAGCTGTTTACTATGAAATCTTGTTCCGCTAGCTGTATCTAAGCAGTCACAACCTCTAAGACTGTAAAACAATGGACTTCCTAGTTCAGAGACACAGATGGTGGTAAAGCTTTCCTGTTGCAGAGATAGAAGGCTCTGCCTTGCAAGAGCTAAACAAACATTCAGATACCTTTAGTAGATAGGCAAAGTGTTGCTTTTGATGCTCTTGCTCTGTTTGAAGGGCTCTTGGAAAAATACTAAACTTTTCTTGTATTGAAAGCAAATAAAACTACTTTTCCTTTTTGAACTGATAGCTGAATGTCCTTGCAGTTACTCTGAGCACAGGGTGAACTCTTAACAAACAGGAAATAGCCTTGTGTGTGCTGTTCCTTTGTAATCATGAGTTGCAACAGTGTTACCTAAAACAAAAAGCTCTGCTGATCTTGAGGTGCTGAAGGGAGAAGAGCCACCTACTGAGTATGAATCTTCTGCCTTTATGTTGAGGATTTGTATGGTTGTTTTGCCTTTCCCTTTAATGTTACCTGCCAGAGCATTTTAAGGCACTGCTTGTTATGTGTGGCTGGATGTTTGTAATATTTTCACTCACATCTGTTGAATAGACAAAAGTTCAGGACTTGAATAATGGAAAAGAGATGAGAGGTTGTTTTTCTCAGCTCTGTTGGTACTGCTGCAAAGTACGATTGCTGAGAAGTGCAGAAAGACAGACACTATGTTAATTTTTTCCTGCAGAAGCCTTTCCTATTTTTTCTTTTTCTCATATACATGTTCCTATTGTGTTAAAAGCATCTTATCACTTGCCTCTTATCTGTGTATTTTCAAAACAGTGCCAGTGGGAACTTGGAGAAGAAGGATCAGTAAGCCAGAATCTGGGTTCTTGTACCCAGGTTTGACATTGCTTTATTGCATGACTTTCTGGAAAGTCACTTGACCTGCTGTTTATCTGGTCTTGTTTCACCGAATAAAGTAGGGGAATGAAAATGACAAACTGGAAGCTATTAAATGCAGGGTTGAATATGCTTTGAATTTGGGGACCCCACTGTCTTTGAAGGAGGACAAAAGTTTTATTCAGTCTTTACTTTAGAATTTACTACTGTAGGGATTGGTGCTGTTTGATGTTATAGCTTTAAGATCATTTTGTGTTGCTGCTTCTTGGTGGTGCAGTGAAAAGTGCACATCTATGACAAGAGACAGATTTGTAAGTATGGCAGACCATGGCTGCATTGTGTCCCTGCAGGCATGCTGTTTGCTCTCACAATTGTTCTGTCCAGGCAAGGTCAGAGCTTGAGGCACGTGTAAAATAAACATACTACAGAGCATGAGGAAGATTTGTGGAAATAGCCTGTTCCACTGAGAGGCAGCCATCCTCAGGGATAGAGAACAGAAGTTTCTGTATTAACTTGTAACTGGTTCCTGGCTCCTTCTAATCATGTTTGTCTGGTTTCTTTATACCTCAGATCCTGTGGGAGATCACAAGGTTCTTCCTTCTGGCGATCGAGCTGAGCATGGTGATTTTAGGCCTTGCCTTTGGTAAGTGTCAGGAGGTTTACTGTGTGCTATGAATGTTTCCTATTCCCTTCTTTTCCTCAGAGACCACATCTGTAAGTGTGTATATTAATAGAATAAATACAGAAGGCAGGATAAAGACAGAAGACAAACTGGACAGTTTGTCAGTAACAGTTGAAAGCCTGGCTACATTTACAGTTCTGCAATTTGTACAGTTTCAGGGTTTATTTGTGCTTTATTTGTTTTGCGTTTGGTGAAGGAGTGTGCAACATGTGAAGAAGACCTTTATACAGAGATCAGTTGTCTGATCTTTGCATAAAACACATCTTATTTAAGATAGTTGTGTTTGAGGATACATCTATCGCCTCACCATTGTTTAGTTTTATTCTATCCTGGCTTCATTTGATTCATTTAGCTGTACCTTTGTCACTCTGCATTCAGTTGTATGAGTGAAAATACTATTTGGAGTACATCTTGCTGTGGGGGTGAGGGAATTTAGTAGGTGTCTCTGCCACGTCTGCACTTGAGATGTGAACACTGGTTCTCTCCACTTTTGTGGGATCATAAAGTAATTTAGTTTGGAAGGAACTTTTGGAGATTGATTGCTCCATCATGTCCCAGTGTAAATATTTCTAGTTTATGTTAGGCTTTCCCTCCTCTGACCCAGTCTCTCATCACTACTTTTTCCTGAAAAGAAACTGCAGTCTGTCTGTGTAGCTGGTAATGGAGTTGTGCCTGCTTTTTTTTTTTGGCCTCATAACCCCAGTGAAAAAACTTGTTTATTTTCTGTATATTACTGTGGGCAGGAGGAAAGCAAGTTAAAACCTATTGTTTTACAGGTTTTGTTTTGTGTTTTAAAGGATCAGCTCTCCAAGTGGAAGCAGTTAACAAGGGTTAAGTGAGCTTCAAGCTTCCTTTGAGGGCCTCTGGAAATGCAGATGTTTTATTATATTTGTTTTGGGGTGAACTGATTTTCAGCACATCCTGATTCAACCTGTGTTCCTTAATTCCAGGTCATTTGGAGAGCAAGTCAAGTGTGAAGCGTGTTCTGGCAATCACTACAGTGCTGTCTCTAGCATATTCTGTCACACAGGTGAGTACGATAGAGCAGAAGAGATTAATTGGCTTGAAGTCAGCTGTGGGGCTCCTGTCTGGAATGTGGGGAAAAGTAGCAGCTTTGCTCTTTGGACTAGGCTGTGGGGAAAGACTGAGTTCTTGTGGTAGTGTATTGGGATTCCCAGAGTATACACTAGACCATATCACACTGTCCTCTTCATGGTATGAATGGCTCAGCCAGGGTCAAGAAATAAGGAGGGAATTTAGATGGATAGTTTTGTCCAACAAATCTTGGAACAAGAGTTAGAGTTTCTCATGTGTGCCACAAATTTTGAGTTTAGCTTCAAGTACAATGCAAACTAGATGGAGACAGCCCAAGTGTGCTCATCAGGCTGTGCGCTGTGCTGCTTGTCTCCTTCTCTTGAGCTGAGAGCTCTTGCTTCCCTTCAAACTAGCAGCTGGCTTGCTAGCTCCATTTATTAGCTCAGTCTATCTCTCTGGACAATGCAGTGTGTGTCTGGTGGTGTTCTTCTCATTAATACTTAAGTGGCCAGCCTTGTGCCTCTATTTGTGGCAGTACCAGAATAACAGACAGTTGTTTGGTGATCAGACCCTTGTGTGCAGTGGCAGTGAGGTGATCATTACCACATGACACTTAATTGGGCACCTACAGCTCAAACACTTGATATACTGGATCTGGGTTCAGCGATGCTTAGAAGTGGTTTTTTTTTGCTCTGCTGTCTGTATGGTAGCTTCTGTTCTTAATTGTTTTTCAGAGATCTAAATGAAGGAGACAGTCTCCTTTCCCAGCTGTTACACATATGCAGGCATTTATATTCTGGGTACAGCGGGGAAGGTGTGCTTTGAAGATTGGAATGAAACTGTTTGAAACAGAGGGCTGTGTCCACTCTCCTCTTTTCACTCTCTCTTTTTCTGGAATATCACTGATACTGTTTTCATTTAGATACTGATTCTTGCCACTTTGTTCCCCTCATGTTTTGTTTTGTTTCTTCCTCTTCTCCTGGGTGAACATAACTTGGCCTAAGCAGGGCAAAATTTGTGTTTCAGGTGGCAGAGACAACTTTTATTTGAACTTTGAACGTAGTCTTTTATATTGACAGCCACTGTAATGAGGATGCTGACTATAACAGTATTGTGATGGTGCCATTTCTTTCCTAGGGGACCTTGGAAATCCTGTACCCTGATGCTCACCTCTCAGCTGAAGACTTCAACATCTATGGCCATGGAGGGAGACACTTCTGGCTTGCCAGCTCTTGTTTCTTCTTTCTGGTGAGTATGAGGCATGTATTAAGCATTTTGACAGCCTCTTTGTATTTTCTGAATGGGACAAGGAGGATGATTTGAGTATAATAAGCCCCTGGGCCCTTCCTGCCTGATATGTAGTGCGGTATTGATGCTTTTCATGAGGCAGTGAAGCTGAACCAATAAAGGTGTAAACTGCAACAGCTGAATACCAGCTGAATTCAGGTGTTCCTCACTCCCTGTTTCTCAGTGACTAGCTGTGCTGATGAGGTGAGGTGTGGAGCTCTCACATGTGCACTGGTTTAATAATGGAGGCCTGCGCCACTAACATGAGGCACCTAGGAGGTTCATGACACATATTCTGCCCTTACCAGGCTTTCTGAGTCACAGAACAATCTTTTTTTTTTTTTCTTTTGTCCCAACAGGTCTATTCCTTTGTGGTGATTCTTCCAAAAACTCCTCTTAAAGACCGGATTTCTCTGCCCTGTAAGTGACTGTAGTGTTTCCATCATGTAAGTGGGGCAGCACCAGGATAAAAAAAATAAGTGAGGGGAGTAAGAAGCTCCTGTATGTGTCTGTGCTATGGATACATCCTTCTGTCTCAGCTGTGGAATACTTTGTCTACCATGTCTTTGCATGTGTTGCCAGGGCCATGTGCTTTCAGAACTCATTTTCTGTGTCTGCATGCATACACATGCAGGAGGATATGTTTAATCCTTTATACCTGTCAGTCCTGGCAGCATGGGATAGAAAAATTTGGTTTTAACTGCTAAGAGTTTAAGCATCTCAGCATCTTGTTGTTTATACATTGGGTTTGCTATTGAACAGAACCTACTGTTTGCACTGTGCTGGTACTTATGAGGTTGAGCTTCATCTTTATGTCCGTGTCTTTCTCACAGCCAGGAAGAGTTTTTATGTTTATGCTGGGATCCTGGCAGTGCTGAATCTGGTGCAGGGCCTGGGCAGTGCTCTTCTCTGTGTGGATATCATAGAAGGACTGTGGTATGTATGTTGGGGAAGGAGTCTACAACCTGCTTTCTAATGTTGCATTTGTGTCCTTCAACAATGTCTCAAGAAAACAAACTTCTACAGTGTTCCTAAGGAGGAATAAAGCTATTGTTTGTTTCATGGGGAAAAAAATGTCTGGAAACTCACATTTGTGGGGGTCTTTGGAGCTGCATGTTCCACAGTGGTCTTGAGGTGGTGAACAGGAGTGACAGTGTGAGTCCACTGAAGCCTGATCATTGGCTTGTTTCTTAGGTAGTATATAAGCAAATAGTCTGTTTGCTAGAAGTAACAGAGATACTTCTATTCATATCTGGAGTCTCATTCTTCAGGGATCAGTCATCTTCCATGAGTCAAAACTGGGAGCACTGAGACTTATTTTTTTGAGTCAGATCCTGGGATGTGATGTGGTTCCCTTTCAAAGTGTCTAGGAGCAATTACATCTTCACGGCAATGTCTTTAGTTTGCATCAGTTCAGATTTGTTTAGCACAAGGTTTGTGCTCTGCTTGCCTGCTTTTGAGGGAAATAGAATCATTTCTTCTGGATGGATGTGGTTGGGGTTATCTAGCTGTATTGTTTGAGTCCTAAATACCTTCATCTTCTCTTTTCCTTTTGACAGCTGTGTTGATGCTACTACATTCCTTTACTTCAGCTTCTTTGCACCTCTCATCTATGTGGCATTCCTGAAAGGCTTCTTTGGGTGAGTAGCAGGAACAGGGGTTTTGAGAGTATCTATTGTTATTTGAGCTGTCCCAGATTGTTTTCCATCTGTAGAATAAAAGCAATGACTGGAATGCCATTTAGGGAGCCAATGTTTCATTCCTGGCTTACTGATTTTCTTTTGTGGTCCTGCACTGGCCACTTCTACCTGAGGCTCCCTTGTGTACAAAGTAGAGCTAATAGTTGTATTTCCCTCAAGCACCTCTCTCTGTCACTTCAGTGTCTACATCCTATTTGTGCAAAGTTTTGCTGCTGAAATCAGTAACTAAATGGTTAGTGAGGGACTGAGTCGTGACAGATTAAGCTGGCTCCAAGTGGGCTTTTAGGAGGTTTGCTGGTTAAATAGCCCTTGGGTCAGGGTTCCTATACAAGGGCCGAGTCACCAGCTGAAAGCTCTGTCCAGTGTTGATTACTGGGTTGGGTGTGCCGCCGTGTGGCCACTCAGGGAGATGCATGTTGGTAGGAAGTGCTTTGGTGTAAGCTGTATGTTTTATTGTCCTTGAGCAAGAGACATCAATCAGGCTTTAGAATAACTAAAAATAGAAAGTACTCCTAAAATATCAAAATGTTTCTGATGTCTTCTGAAATCAGAACAGTATCTGGAGATAGAAATAGAAAGTACTGATTTGCAACTGTTTGTATTTTGATTTTCCTGTTGCACACGGATGGAATGAGAAATGGAATCTTTTTGTTGTTTGCTGTGAAGTCCAGTGATGCCTGGATGCTGCTCTCAGTAACTTAGAACTTGGAAAGAGGAGAACATGCTTATGACACCAATGGCAGGACTGCTGTTTTTATTTCCCCTAGGCAGCCTAGTCCAAAGCTACATTTAGCATTGTTCCATTGCAGTTATTCCACTATGACTATATCCAGACTGAAAGCAATATGAAAAGTTCTTTAACACTTAAATACACGTTGTTTCGGTGCTACTAAGTTTCAGTTCAGGGTAAGTGGCTGTTATGAGATATTTTGCTTAAACATGTATTTTAAATCCTTAATGACTCTAGGTCTGAGCCGAAGATCCTTTTCTCCTACAAGTGTCAGGTGGATGAACCTGAAGATGTGGATGTGCACCTACCCCATGCTTATGCTGTTGCCAAGAAGGAAGGAATGGATTCTGGGTTCTACTCAAGCACTCAGATTGATACCACAGCCTACCTGGATGACGTGGCCTCTATGCCGTATCACGTGGGCAGCATCAACAGCATAGACAGTGATCGTTGGAAAGCTATCAATGCCTAAGGCAGGGCTCCCCCCTGCATCCGATGCCTCATTTTCCCTTAAACTTCCTGATACTGAGGATGTTAGGATATCCACTGGAAACTTGTTCATCACTATCTGCTGTGGCTTTCCTCTTTTCCTTAGGATTTCTGAAACCTATTGTGGAACTAAGTTGGCAGCCTTTTTGGAAAGAATATTTCCCGTCACTGACTGAGAACAATCTAGAACAGTCCTGTTCATAAACCTATAAACACTGAACCTTCCTGATTCTGTGCGTTCCAGATGTGAATATGGCCCAGAAGGACAGGCCTGACTGGCACCTCTTGCTTTTCAGTGACTGACAGCACTTGTCTGCCAACTAAGGGAAATGTCATTTAGAAGCTGTTTATTTGACTGTGTATTCTGCACATATGGAGAGAGTTTGGTTTAAACCAAAGTTGGTGTTCCTGGGCTTTCTCAGGCAGCACAGTTGTCTGGATCTTATCACAACCATGGATAGGTGGCAATAGATATGTCTAAATGGCAAAGCTGCTGAGTTGGACTCATCTCTGGTTTCAGCTAATGCTAATGAAAACTGTGAATTGCAATTGTTAGGAGTTAAAAGGATTGTGTTCAGAGTGTGTAGGAAGGAGAAAAGAGGTGTGAAGAGAAATGAGCTGCCCAGTGTATTCTGATATTCTGGGAAGCATGGCTGGTATCTCGCAGCACCTGTGTGAGCTGACAACAATAGGGAGGCAGGACAGGCAGCTGCTGCTGCCCAGCTGAGCTGAAGTAGCTGTGAAAGACTCTGTGGAGGCTATGCTGCTGTTCATCTGAGCTCACGGGAACATCTCAATAACAGCACTGAAGTGGGGTGAAGTTTCAAGAACACAGCATGTACAGTAGGTGTGTGTTACATCTGCACCATGCTTCATGGCTCTAGGTGGGGTCATGGAGAGGGCTGTGAAGGAAGAGGCTGTCTCTGCTGATGAAGGCTTCAGAGATGTTCAGATGCCTGAGGCAGAGTAGAAGCTGATGAATCTGAGCTGTCAGTGTCTAGTGACTAGGAGTTCTCAAACACAACAGGCATCTTAAGATCAAATTGGCCGGTGTTCTAGGTTGGGTGGGAGGTGGATGCTCTGGTACAACCTATGTGGCGGTGTCCTCTTCTGTTGCAGTTCAGATCCCCAGACTTCTAATGACCTTAATAGGCTTTTCATGTTGATACATTGAAAATACTTACAGGTGTGTGAAGTGTGGTTTATTTAAAAACTATCTGGAATTTCTTAGTCTCTTCCACAATGGAATAGGGACTGTTGTCAGAGCTGTTTGATGTGCAGTTCCAAGACAGTTTGTTCCAATTCAGGGACTGTTGAGCTGATAGCTGCAATAAACTGGTTTCTGAGACAGACTGTGCTGTCCAAGGATGAAGAGGTTTATTCTTCTAGCTCTGGGGAAGTCAGTTTTAGGGAACCTACCTGAGTCATCTGTGTAAGTGGAGATCTGCTGTAGGTGATATTAGAAATAGTAGAAAGAAGGAAATTTGAAACATTTCAGCACTGTGCATCTCTTGCCCCAGCTCACTGCTGTTCCTGAAAAAGAATAGTGGGGTAAGAGTTCTTGGGAAATCATCATGCAGGGTGCAGCATGGGGGTATCAGTTTAGAATCATGAGTGTATGCAGTGAATGCATTTCCCACTGTAGGGAAAGAAACAGATTAGGTAAGAACACAAGGTTCCTGTTGGTTGCCAAAACTATGCAGGCCCTTCACTTATCTTTTATTTTGTTAACGAGCAGAGCAGCTTCTCAGTTCTGCAGCCTGGGGACTTTGCCCTACAGGCTTCTGGGTAGCATTGACACCATTAATAATAAATTTTTTAAAATTCCACGAGCTTTTTTTTAATCTTATCAAGTGAAGAAAAAAAACTTCCATGTGTGAGAGCTGGAGTGTCTAACCTTTCACATTTCCCCTGCTGAAATGACTATGGAAGGGGTGGACAAGCAACTGGCCTGGCCAACTCAGTCCTTCCCACTTAGAGAAGTGTTCTGTGCTCCTACTTTTTCTTGCTGTGAATCTGCATCAGCCACATTTTAATTGTAAAAGCGATGGATGATGTGGTGCCTGAATTGCCCTGCTGCTGCTCTTACTGTGGCTCCAATCCTGAGCTGCTGTTAGCAAGCGTGGGGAAAACCTGCAGAGCTTCCCTGGAGTCTGTTGGCCTTGGACAGGTCTGAAAGATTTGAATGTCTAAGCAGATCACCTGTGCAGGTGGTCAGTGTGTCCACCCTGTCCTTTGCCAGCAGGACTCCAGTATTTCTGGAGCTTCCCATGTTGCTGGGGAGCTTCTGTGCTGGGTCATGGACTGACCTTCCTTCTGGTGTATTTCTGTGTATATAAGGCTTTGGGCTGTATTCACAATGGGCCTTGAGCAGAAGTGTGTTGTGTGTGGGGGTGTGTGTAAAGAGTCTAAATATAGAATAAATGTATATTTTTGTTTGTAAAATAAAGAAATACAATGATGTTTGGCATAAATGGTTATACTTTCTTTCTTAAATGATCCGTGTTATGGAGAATTAAAAAAACAACAAGCTTAGAAGATATTAATGGAGTTACACGGTGCCTTTTTGCAAGAGACAGATTTTTCCCTTTTTGGAAGTTTGGACAGCAGATCAGTGTGCAAAGAGTGGTGTTCAGGTATAAGCAGTTGAGAAGGCCTTTGATGTTCTCCGTAACTAGATCCTGCTGTTCCCACATCTCTCCAGCGCTGGGGGCTCTGCTGTTGGCAAGGTTTCTTCCTTAGGAAAAAGCCTGTGTGGAGGTAGCTTCTCGTTCAGGGCTTTGGGATGAATGGTGATGAGCTGTTTCAGCGCCAACAGCTGATGCTGCTCTGTCACGCTGAGAGCTCCAGCAATGGGAAAAGTCCCCAAGGTATTACGCAAATATTCGCCGCTTGCAGGACTATGCGGTAGGACGGGTCAGTCTGCCAGGCGGAGCGGGGAGCTCTGGATGTTCCGCGTCCGCACAGGACGCGCTCGGACGTCCCCGCCGCCGGGCTGCTGCCGTCGGACCACAGCTCCCATGGTGCCCCGCGGCCCGCCGCCAGCACGGCGCCACGCGATTGGTCGCCCCGGAGCCACCCGCCAATGGGAGCCCGCGATGTTGGCGGGCGCCGGTGAAGGGGAGGCGCTGCTCGGCGCGGGGGGAGAGGCGTCCCCAGCGGCCGCCCCGCCGGCATGGGGGGCAACGAGAGCAGCCATGGCGGCAGGAAGGTGTCCTTCGGGCTGGACGAGCGGGAGCAAGTCCGGGTGCTGCAGGGCATCAGGGTGAGGCGCTGCGGGACGGCGGGCCCGGGCACGGCTTTGCTCGGGGGGACGCGGCAGCCCCGGGCCGGCCTGCGCCCATCTCAGCGCCCCGTGTGCGCGGTGCGGCTCCGCGCCGAGCTGCCGTGTGTCCACAGCCGCTGTATTTCTGTGCGCCTTTGGACGCCGTTCCTGGGTGATGGGCGCTGTGTGTGTGCGCAGCCTGCCGTGCCCTCAGGCTGAATGCGAAGGCTGCGTTCTGTTGGGTTCGCCTCCGAAGGGCGCTGCTCTGGGTTCTTCCTTCCCACCCGCTGCCCGTTCGCACTGTATTTCTATGGAACAGAATTATTTTGAGATATCTACTGCCTTTCAGGTTGAAATTGGGCGGGTGCGGCTCTTAGTGCGTCTGTAGGCTGGAAGTTTTATCTCCAGTTTTATGCTATGGCCATCTGCTCGGTGGATGGAAGAAGGGTGCTGGCTGCAATCTTTTGGGACTCCTGTATGGCCTCTAATGCCATCCCTCGCGAGGAAAGCAGCAGAGCTCCCTCACTGTGAGGGTGGTCAGGCTTCCTCGCAAGGTGCCTCGCGCCTGTCAGTGTTCAGGAGGCGCTGGGATAATTGGTTAGTCCTCGAGTGTTCACGCAGTTGGATCAGATGTCTTTGATGCTCCCTTTCAACTGAACTATTCTGTTTTTGGAGCAGCTTAAAGGCTAACAAATTAAATGCCTTTATCCTGAAATATATGTACATTAAGTGCCTAGTTAACTAACTTGATTAATTGCGTTCTTGTGTGTGTATTTTAGCTCACTGAAGATGTAGTGAATCGGATGAAGGAATCTCAAAGTAAAAGGGACAACCAGAGGTCACCCCACTTATCCAGTGGTACAGCTCCATTTTCAACAGCTGCAGAAGGGAAAACCAAATCTCCTACAGGTACTGCCAGTCCCTGCCGGGTCTACTGGTTTGACACCTGTAGGGGAACTGTTTGGTCAGGGTTTGAACTGATGATGAGCACCTGGTGAAGGGGTGCGGCTGGCCCAGGGAGCACAGGCAAATTGTTTGCACCTGTGGTCCCCATAAGACCAGAAGGGGTAGACCCAGGGTGGAGTCCCCCTGGGCTCATATAAGCACCAACCACTGAAGGGAGAGCATCTCTTGGACCTAGGCTGCTTCCTGTGAAGGAGTGCTATATAGCCAGAGAGCCCCTTCACCACCTGGGTGAGTTCTAGTCTTTTTTCTGTGTACAGTTAACCTACCTGTAAATACTGTACCTGGTGTTGTCAAGAACGCGTCAGAAGCAATTTCGCTGCTCCTTGAGCAGAACAGCATGCTGCTTAGCACTTCTGTTCATGTTATATAGCATGAATGTATCCTGAGAAGAGCCACTGAAATGCTGCGGTTCTAGTTCTGTTGTTGTGGGATCTTAAGTAAGGCAACTTTTGCTTTGTCTTTAGAATGCCATCATTCTCAGATGCATTAAGAAACTTGTAAGACTTTGTGAGTGCAGATTTTCAGATAAACACGCAATAAGCAAGGCAGTGATTTTTTTGTTATCTTGTGTTTCTTGAAACTTGTTTTACTGTTCCTTTTCCATGCACAGGGAGTATATGATGGATGGGTGGGGAGATGCTGCTTTTTGTTCTTTGGAAATGTTTGTTCTTGGACGGGAAGAGTAGACTAAACACAGGTTACGTGATATGTTAAGTGAAGGGTGAGAGTGTGATTTCTGAATTTGACTTTCTTTACAGTTCAGAAAACGATTTGATTTCTGTTGGTTCACAAATATACTTTGTTGATAAACTTTATCAGTGTGGATTTAAGGCATACAAACTGGCGTGAACCAGGCCTTTGCTGTTAGAGATTTGTTTGCTGTTAGCCTATGTCTTTTCTGGAAGTGGTTTCAGTTTTATGGATGAACTCCATCAAATAAGTTAATCTCTGTAATTACAAAGAAAGTAGGAAGACTTAATAGAGCTAGAAGAAACAACTAGAAAATAAGTCTAAATCTATGCTTATGTTTCAGTATAAAACAGTGTTTGTGAGTAACATCCTTACCTAGACAGTTGTGCAGTGTACTTGGTTAAGTGTGCCTTGTTGAAGACAGTGCTGTCAGTGTCTCTTTCTTTCACGAAGTCTAATTCCATCAGATTTGAATTTTCTCAATTCTCTCAGATTATTATGTATTGTCTCGATGGGATAACCTGTATTAAATATTCTTATCAGATAATTCAGGCTGTGTTTTGTATTACAGTTGTCGGTTTTGTTCTTTCTTTCTTTCTAGGAATCCAGCCACCAACAGCAAGTAACTCTGGTCAGAAAGCCACAGTTGCAGAGCAGGAATTGTACAGGAGGTGAGGTGAAGTTTGGGGAAAAGGATATTTTAGCTCCTTTTATGCTGGGAGATAAGTTAACTCCTTTTATTGTGGTGTGTCCTTTCATCTTGTCCAAAGCAGTACCTATTTATCTAGCTTAACTGCTTTCTATTATCGTAATTTTTAGGTGATAATTAAGTACTTAATAGAGCTAAATATAACTGAAATATAAGCTTATATGAAGCTCGGTTTGCTGTTTTTGCCTGAGCTGTTTGTCAGTGAAAACTGCAGGTCATGCTTGAAGTTTGTTGGACTTCTGAATTTCTGCTGATAACGGAGGGACTTTGGGCAGGCTTTGTGCCAAATTGATTATGCATTTAGGTAATGTCAAGGATTGTCCATGCTAAGCCGTGATCCTCTTGCCAGAAGTCAGCGGATCAACTTGTCTTTGGCACTCCTATAGGTATGAGCAGGAGCAGGCCCTGGTTCAAGAGGAGCTGCTCCGGCTGGCCAAAAGAGAAAGGGAAGCAGCTGGTGAGATGCTGAGTACGGCCCTTCAGCGGGAAAGGAACAGCACCAATGAAGAGAGGAAGAGAGCAGCTCAGCTGGTGAGTAACAACAACCTCCACTGTATTCCCATGTGGGACAGACTGGAATCACTCTGCTCGAAGGGGTTCATTAAATGTCACTTGTATGTTGAGTTTAGAAACTGCTTTAGTTTGAAACACTTGTCACCTCATAACTTTATTCCTTGGCTTAGAGTGTAGTCAGCAAGCTGCACCAGTTGTCTCTCAGTGATTCTAAGACCAGGCTTGCAGGGAATGGCACAAGCAATGACTGTGCTGAGGGCAGCCTGACCTGTGGGGAAGAAGGATGAATGGTCAGTGTGCTTTGTGTGTATGGGCTTGTTGTCTGAGACAGTGTGTTCTTTTAAACTGGCAAGTGTATGAAACAAATGTATGCTTTATAACTCTGCTGATCTGACCTGTCATGAAACTTTGCTTTGTGTTCCTGGATTATGGTTGTGCAAGTACGCAAATCTTAAAAAAAAAAAAAAATAATAATAATAATAAAAAAATCTTGGATATTTATCATCCTGGTAACAAAATGTATTGATGCTTAACGCTCACTTGATGCCATTTTATGTTGTGTTCTATTAAATACTGATTACTATGCCAATATTGTACTGCCTGTACACAGTACAGAGTCTTTCTGGAACTGCCACTTCTTCCTTACCTGATCTGGGATGAGGTGTGACAGCAAGGTGGGGCTGTGCTTCCAGCACTGAGGTCAAACTGCCTGTTTGTGTCAACTGTGATGTTGAAAATCTTTGAGAAAACTGGGCTAAGAAAAATTCTCTTAGTGCATACTGAAAGGACAGCTTAGGAAGAAAGGGAGGACAGACTTGAGCAATGTTTGTTGTCTTTGTGTTCTGTCCTACTGATCTCTTGCTTGCACTTGATTGAACTGAAGAATCTTTGTGAGCGTGTTTTTTCTGTGTGCTGAATAGCAAAAGGCATGGCTTACCCAGACGTGTGATTTTTGCTGTGAAGCATTTTGAAGTTACAATCATAGAATGACTTAGGTTGGAAAAGACTTCAACAATCATCAAGCTTAATAATAATATTGGGAGCTGAGTAAATAAAATTTAAGTGAAAATAACTATATAATGGTTTGGACAGAAAGCCCTTCTGGCAATAGCCTGTTTCTGAGAGTAACCCATGGCAGATGCTTCCGGAGTGCATGACAATAGAGCAGCCATAAAACAGTGCTTCCCACCTGTGTACCCTTGCAACTTCTGCCATTCCGAGGTATAGAGACTTCTTTGATTAAAAATTGTTTGATCACCTTGGTGGTTAACAGTCACACACCTTCTGTGAATGTATTCGTTTGTGGGTTTGGGCCCATCAATGTCTTCTGACTCTGTGGTAACCTGTAGCACATGGCTGTGTTTGTAGAGCTCTGAGGTTGCTCTTGAAGGTATAGCTGGAAACTTTTGCTTGCCAGATTGTGCCCTAACCATGAGAAGTCTGCCTGGTTGCTGAGCTTTAGGATAGCGATGTCTGAGGCAGGCTGTTCCTCTGAGTAGGAGAGTCAGCAGACACAGTGTTAGCTCTCTTCCCACTAGAAGGAGCGTTATCTTTATGAATGCAATTAGCAGTTCTGTAAAGAGAGGTGGGGGAAACTAGTGGATTCAGTGTCCAGCCTAAAGATAAGGCCTGCCACAGAAATAGAGGCCTGCCCTCCTGCAGTGGATACAGAGAATGGTCTCTGAGAGCTGTGACTAACAGAGACAGGCAATAGTTGTGAAGTCTGAAGAAAGTACCTCTAAATTGAGTAGGGGGCTGACCTCTAACATACAAAACCTGTTCTGTTATCTCAGTTAGCTTTAATCCTGTGGTATTGCATGTCCAGATACTGCAAAGTTGATGTTGTGCAAAAATCTTATCAGACTCTTCCTGTGTAACCTGTAAAATGTAAATACTGGCCATGCAGTCTGGTGCAAGACCGAGAAACTGTTAAATTTCATTGCTCTTTAACTGTCGCTTGATTGGTCATAAATTTAAGACTCTTAAAAATGAAACAGTCCAGCCTATCCTTTCAAAGATGAGGTAGAAGCTATTGTCTGTTGGTTGCTAGGTGTCTTGCTAAGAAGAAATGGTTTCTGTCAAGCTTTTAAAATTGTTAGGATCAGGTTTGCTTTATCTCTGCTGCAGTTTCCTTTCAGGCATGGTCACCTTATGCTGCTCAGTCCTACTCATATCATATCTGTCCTTTGTCTTCCAGTATTTTCTTCCTTTATTTGGAATGGAGGTTGAATATTTTTGCTCACTCTTCTGCTTTTTAGCCCTTGAATATTAAGTAAATAATGGATGTGAACTTTTCTTTCATCTCATCTCTATCTGTCATCCCTCTCAGGCAGGAAAGAGTAGTGGCAGTAGGTGTACCTGGTGGTAGTCTGGGTGCAGGTGAAATGGGAAATTCTCTGCTGTTTATAAAGGAAAGGGCTTTCAGTGTTCTTGTTTTTTTGTTATGACCTATGAGGAAAGCCAGAGGAAAACAGGACAACTCCCATGATGGAAACAGGTTGGTAATTTGCTTCTAACAGTACTTAACTTTGTAAGAATTGAACATCATGCTGTGTATCATTAGGAAGGTTTGTTTTATTATTTTTATTTTGATGCTTGCAGTAAGATCCTGAGCTGTCCTGTGCCCTCCCTGTATCGCTTTGTCATGACTGGCTTTCTCTGACAGTTGTCTCTAGCAGTGCTGCTATATTCTCCTTTTAACTTTACCACTTGTGGTTCATAAATCCAAATATGATAGCTGTATTTTGAAATGATTTCATTTTGATTGTGCTGAACATAGCTTGTCATTTAATCTGTTCTTTATGACTTCCACCCTTCCTTTTATTATTGGCAGGATCTTTGAGGCACTTCAGTGAGACTATAGAGTGTAAAGTCCTGCAGAGAGCATGGCTAATGTTGGGTAGGGAACTTGCTGTCTGTTTTTGGGTCCTTCATGGTTTATAGGGTACAAATTTAAAACTTGATCTTCCTTTTTCTGAACAGTTCACTGGTTACAAAATAATGTGGATCCTGTTCTAGGTTTTTCTCTTATTTTTTTTAATAACTTTGAACAAGGTATTTAGCTTCTAGATAGCTTAGGTTTTGACTAAATCTCTTTAAAGCTTAAGAAGTTAACAACTGTAAGTAGAAACACTGCAGCATTGTCTTCACTTTGAGCAAGTGTGGCTTTTGGTGGCACGTGGAACTGGCTCAGGCAGAATCAGCCTGCTCAACTGCTGCAGAACAACATTCACCTGTTTATATCAGAAAATGTTTTGTGCATCTCTGCAGGATCACAGTGCTGGTTGGACTCATCAGTAATTTAATGCCACAAGTACTTATGGGAAACAAGGGTGATACGTATGGTACTTCAGAGCATGGCCTGCAGTGTGTAACTAATGCTTGTAGCATGCATAAAGCCTCGTGCAATCCATAGGAATCATCCATCTTTTTTTCTGAACTCTAGTTTGAGAAACTTCTGAAGTTGTTATAGTCAAGTTGTTTAATTCCTTGGCTGTGTTGTGAATAGTCTTGCATTTTCCTAAACCTCGAATCATTCCTTTTTCGTTTCCAATTAATCAAAACCTCATCTCTTAACTTCTTGCTGCTTCTGGCTTCTTTTTTCTTACCAACAAAAGAAACTTTGCAAGCAAAGCTGCTCTTCTTTCTTTTTCTTGCTTTTGTAATCTCCTAATGCTGTGCAATGTATGCACTGTGAGCTATCGTCTCACAGCCGGTGACTCCCAGCCTGATGGCTTTTGCTGAAACCTTTGAAACAAATCAGTGTGGGATGGGGCTGGAGAAAAGCAGAAGCTGGTGGGGAGAATCAACGCGATTAAGCAAAGACATCTCATTACTCCTCTAGAAAGGGAGGATTATAACTTATAAAATAGGAGGATCTCCTTTAGGGGCCATGTGCGCCTGTGTTATCAGGACAGAGGGAGAGCAAATAGAATAAATGAAATTAATGCTTTGAAAAGAAGCATTATGCGGATTTCAGAATCGAGCTAATATGATTTGTGCAAGGTCCTGAAGTTCTTATCTCCCCATTTAATACCCCTTGGATAATGGCTTTGACAGAGTTATTGACCAAGAGTCATCGTCTTCAGTACTGCTTGGAAAGAATGAACTCAGAAGTGGGGTGATGGTAGGACAAACTCTGCACCATAATTAGCTGTTTCAGGCAAGACCGAAGGGCATCACTTGCTGTGCAAGAACAGACTGGACACAGTTCCTAAATTGCTGGGAAGTCCTCTCTCTGGCTGACGATGAGGGATGGCTTGCCACTCCCAGCCCTGCTTTCTAGCTGGCTGGATGGCTGCCTCAGCTTTCTGGTGACTTTTTGTGGTTATGCTGGCCAGAAACACGTGTGGGATGAAGACCTTGCAGGCAGCAGGGTTTGGCCCATCCCTGGGTGCTCCGCAGCTGATTTTGATCAGTCATAGGCAGCTGGATTCCTTTCAAATGATCTATTGCCCAGAAATAATCTGTTTGCTTTTCAGAGCCTCTCTTCATCCATCCCTGATTTGGGAGAGGAAGGTTGAAGACAGAGTGCTGAGTGGGAATGTCTTTGGTCAGGTCAGCAAGTTTTGATGTTGATGGGAGCATGGGATTCTGAGCTTCAGGGCTTTGCACACAACATGTGCTAGGTGTCTATGGTATGTACATGTTTAATGCATGCCAGCTGGTATTTCCTTAGGATTATTCCTTCCAACAAGCTATTGGCCCATTGGTGGAAGGCTTTCTTTGGTCTTCTGGTGACTGCTGTAGCTTCAAGCTCATCTTGCTTGTGTTCTTGCCTTTTATTGACCAGTGTTAATTGTAGAAGCAGCTGAACTGGAACTGAAAATGATTTTAGAAATGGTGCTGAACGTGACTTAATTTCATTTACTTTGTGTAAAGCTGGAGTTCAATTTCATCCTGGCTGGTTAACCCATAAGCAGATATTTCTGGTTTACACTGCCATTTCTTACCACTGTGATAATAAGCTCTAATGACCGACTGAGCTCCTATAGTAGCAGAGTGTTTGTGACAGCATG